CCCCCCCCCCGGCTGGCTCTTCCTGCTCCCCTGGTTCCACGCACGCCCCCGGGCTGCCTTGTGCGCGGGCGGCCCTGCTCCGTTCCCGAAGCTGCGCGCTAGTTCAAGGAGGAGTGAACTCGGGGGCCCTGTGTCCTGTGATGATCACAGTGGTCCCTTTTGGCTTTGTAATCGATGACTCTGAGACCCACCAGGCCAGGAGAGAAGCTTGTTCGGGGCCTTCCCCATCTCCCTCCCTCCGCTCTCTAGCTAGGTGCTGGCTCCCTGGACCTTTGCTTCAGAGCGAGCCCCCCGTCTCCTGGCTCCTGGAGAGGGGCGCGGGTAGGAAGCAGGCCTGGATTTTCCCCGGTGGGTCGGAACGGGCCTGGTGTTTTTCCTGCGGTGCTGGGAGATGAGCAGGGGTTACAAGTTTGCACGCCGAGGGGCTTTTCAGGGCACCTCCCGTGCGGCCGGGGGAGACACTGGCCCACAGGCAGGCTCGGGAAATGAGCCTTTACCAAATGAAGCCACCAGCCCCAGCCAACAGAGAGGCTCCCCCCTTTCCTCCAGGGACCCTGCACCAAGGTGCCGTGAGGGAGGAGGGCCGAGCACAGCCCCCCTCCAGCCGGTCACGGAGCCAGCCGCATGATGCAAGGTGCTGCCCCCATAGCACGGGGCTCACGAATGAATTCTGCTCCGCCACCCCTGAACAGCGTCGCTGGCAGGACGCGGCGTCTGTACCCAAGGGGGAGCCTGGGCTTCTCCGAAGCATGTTTGCCTCTGAGCCCTGCTGTTAGGAGCTGTCCCCGGCGCTGCTGTGATGGCACGTTGGGGTTTTCCCGTCTCCTGCACCCCCGTAGCGGCACAAACAGACTCCACCAGCCGGTAGAACAGAGGGAGTTTATTGCCTCTCCAGGATACAGCACAGCACAGATGCAATCTGGTTACAGGAACTGGGGCTAGGAGGCCTCAGTGCCCCCCCTTGAGATGGGGGGTGGCTGGGCCCTGCAATCCCAGCCCCCCTCCCTAGCTCCTTCTCCCCTGCATCCCAGACAGAAACTAACCAAACTCTTCCAGCCCTGCCCCCAGCCAGGGCGGCATCCACCTTCCTTTGTTTCTCTCCCTGGCGGGGAAGCTGGTCGGACAGGTTGAGAGACCCTCTTTGCATAATGAATCATCCCCTGCCCTGCTGGGCCTCCCCCGCCCCCCCAGCCGGGGGGGGCCAGCCAGTGGGGGTCACCCACAGCCCCAGCATAGCAACCAGCAAGGTACCCCCACTACGTCACAGTTGCCACTTCGAACAGAAGCCTCTCGCCCCGGTGCAAAACAAAGATTGTACTTCAGTTGTGTTCTCCATCTCCCCCCAGACGTTAACCCTGGGAGGGGCCAAGTGCCCCCCCCAGTGCAGAGCTCGCAACAGCAACCAGTAGACCCTCAGCCCCCTGCTCTAACCACTCATCCTCTCTGCTGATGCGAAGGATGAGGAATGAGATATTTAAATGGATTCTTGTCAACATGTTTGATGCTTGTCTGTGTCGTGAGCCCCTCCAGAGATCTGGGGAAATACAAATAAAGTTCAGCGAGTTCTGAGTTGAGAACTTGGACAAATGGATTTGGAGGAAATTGCCCAAAACTCCATCTGGTTTCCTTTAATGATTTCACAAGAAAGCTGAGAAACCTGCCTCTGAGATGCGAACAGGCTCTGGCGGATCCAGCCCCACCACCTCATCCAGAGTCTGATCCCCGCTTCTCCAAAGGGACCTGGAACAAATCTCTTGGACACAGCAAGCAGTGGGAAGTCAGGAAGCCACGGAGACACGGCTGGGTCTGGAAGACAGCAGGAGCTGTGGTTCTCATCACGGCTGGACGCCAGCCCTTTGGGACTGGGTGCCTCTGAGCGGCTCCGTATGCAAGGGAAGGCCCCAGCTTGCAGGCGTCATTTCAGATTGGGGGGGCTGAGCTGCATGCCTGGATGCGGGGGAGAGTGAGAGCCAGGGGAGCAGACTGAGGACAGTGGCTTTGCATGGCAAGCAGCAAATTGTGGGGGACTGACCCCCATTCACCTCCCCCCACATCTCTCTCGGGGGCCACTCAGACACTGGAAAGCTCTAGCTTTTCGGCAGATAACTTAGCCACGAGCTGGCAGGAGCACTGTATCTAACCCCTATATACAGGACCCACTCTGCTCCAACACTAACACGTTCTGACGTCTTGTAGCAAGTCACGTAAGGGCAGAGCCAAAATTTGCATCCCCATCTGCACACGCCAAAATGAGCTGTGGGTATTGGCATTCCCAGCCGCGGGTAGAAAGCAGATACCCACGGACGTGCAGGGCTCCATGGAAGGGACACGGGTTAGCGGCACAATTTGAATATACGTTCTTCTTTTGTTACTGACTGCAGAGAGAGACTGTCTGGCTCTAGCTCAGCTCTGGGAGAGGAGTGGAGTTTAGTGGGTTACATTTGGCTCTATGTAAGATCAGAGTGGCTACAGGTCCATCTAGCCCCGTGTCCTGTGCCCACAGTGGCCAATGCCAGGTACTTCAGACCTCGGGAGACCATCAAGTCCAGTCTCCTGCCCTCCCGGCAGGACCAAGCATTGTTTAGATCATTCCTGATGGATGTCTGTCCAACCTGCTCTTCAATATCCCCAGAGATGGAGATTCCACAACCCCCCTGGGCAATTTATTCCAGTGTTTAACCCCCCTGACAGACAGGAAGTTTTTCCTAATGTCCAACCTGAACCTCCCTCGCTGCAGTTTAAGCCCATTGCTTCTTGTCCTAGCCTCAGAGGCCAAGGAGAACAATTTTTCTCTCTCCTCCTTGTGACACCCTTTTAGATACCTGAAAACCGCTCTCATGTCCCCCCTCAGTCTTCTCCTTTCCAAACTAAACAAGCCCAGTTCCTTCAGCCTCCCTTCATAGCTCATGTTCTCTAGACCTTTCAGCATTTTTTTGCTCTCTGGACCTTTTCCAATTTCTCCACGTCTTTCTTGAAATGTGGTGCCCAGAACCGGAATACTCCAACTGAGGCCAATCAGCACAGAGCAGAGCGGGAGAACGACTCCTCGTGTCTTGCTCACAACACTCCTGTTCATGCAGCCCAGAGCCAGGTTTGCTTTGTTTGCAACAGTGTCCCACTATTAACTCATATTTAGCTTGTGGTCCACTGCGACCCCTAGATCCCTTCTGCAGGACGCCTCCCTAGACAGGCGCTTCACCTCCTGTGTGTGTGAAACGGATTGTTCCTTCCAAAGTGGAGCACTTTGCATTTGTCCTTACTGAACTTTACCCTGTTTACCTCAGACCATTTTCCTAGTTTGTCCAGATCATTTTGAACTTTGACTTTACCCTCCAAAGCACTTGCAACCCCCCAGCTTGGGATCATCTGCAACTTAATAAGCGTCCTCTCCATGCCAATCTCTAAATCGTTGATGAAGATATTGAACAGAACCGGCCCCTGCAGAATCCCCCTTGTTCTGCCCTTCCAGCAGGACTGAACCGTTAATAACAACTCTCTGAGAACGGTTCTCTAGCCAGGTATCCAGAAGAGGCAACCCTCATGAGCCATCCCGTCGCCCATTCCCAGCTTCTGACAAACAGACGCCAGGGCCCATCCTGGCTGGCAGCCGTTGGTTGTCTGATCCTCCTTGAACTTATTTTGTTCTTATTGGAACCCTGTTCAGTTTGGGCCTTTCGCCCATCCCCTGGCAAGGAGTTCCACAGGTTGACCATGAAGAAAACATTTGTTTTGTTGGTTTTAAATCTGCTGCCTATAAACTTCAGTGAGTGAACTTCCTGTGTTATGAGAGTGAAGGAATAAATATCATTCCCTTATTCTATTTTTCCACTTCGTTCATGATTTTCTAGCCCTCTTAACATCTTTCCCCACCCTTTGGTCATTTCTTTTCCAAGCTGAAAAGTCCCAGTCTTGTTAATCTCTCCTTATATGGAAGCTGTTCCTTCCCCCTAATCATTTCCATTGCCCGTCTCTGTACCTTTTCCAAATCCAGTAGATCTTTTTTTAGATGGGGATGACCAGATCTGCATGCAGTAGTCCAGCTGTGGGCATACCATGACTTTATATAGAGGCAACGTGATTTTTTTGGTCTTATCTATCCATTTCCTAATGATTCCCAATAGTCTGTGAGCGTTTCAGATGACCACTGCACGTTGAACGGATGGTTTTCAGGGAACTAGCCACAAGGATTCCAAGATCTCGTTCTTGAGTGGGAACAGCTATTTTAGACCCTATGATTTTTGTATGTACAGTCGGGACTATGTTTCCCATGTGCTTTACTTCACATGTATCAGCACTGAATTAATTCCATCTGCCCTCGTGTGGCCCGGTCACTCAGTTTTGTGAGCTCTCTGCAGTCAGCTTTGGGCTTAACTATTACGAGCGATTTTGTATCTGTGGTTTACCCCGTTTCCAAGAACAGCTGTAAGAAGCTGAACAGCAGTGGTCCAGACACAGACCCCTGCAGCCCACCACTATGTACTCCTACTCTCTTTCCCCCTATCTTCGAATGGTTTTATGGTGATTTAACGAGCCTCCAGATACTGGACTGAAAGCCCTTTCTCTTAATCACTGTGTTGCCCTCTGTTTATCAACAGACTCCCTGCCTCTGGAGCTAAGGCATGGGTTGTAAGCAGACCTAAGTATGAAATCTGGGGGCTCAAACCTAGGGGGCTAATGGCTGCTTTGTGGCTGCTGTGTGTTGGAAGGGGCTTCCAGTCCTGACGACCATCGTGCCTGTGCAGAAAGCAGTCTGGTGCCTGCAGACCTGTGCCAGCGCTTCCCTCTTTAAAACGCCCCACCCCGGTGTGCTCACCCCCCAGGCACCCGCCCTCGGCTGGAGAGCCCCACCAGGGGCCCATCAGCGCGGCTCTGGCTGGCTGGGAGAGGGCAGCAGGTGGGAGAGCAATGCAATGACTCCCCCCGGGACCAGCAGCAAGAGGCCGGGGTGCCATCAGGCATGACGGTGCCAAGTGCCACAAGGCCAGCAGCCCAGACTGGACCTCCCCGGTCCGGCACCCTCTGGACCTGACCGGTCTTGAACAAAGGAATTTCCTGGACCAGGGAAGTCCCCTGGCACCAGTCCCCCAGCCCCAGCTGGCTCCCCCTGGGGGGGCTGCCATGGACTCCAGCCTCACTGCCATGGGCTGCCTGGGGCTCTAGCCCTGGCCCTGTGCTGCTGCAGGCCCAGGACTCTGTGCCAGCCCCTCTGGCCCTGGCCGGGCTGCTGGCTCTGGTGCCAGGCTCACTGCCCTGCTGCCGGACGCTGGCCCTGCTGCCACTCAGCTCCCGGGGCTCTGGTCCAGCGGCATCTGTGGTCCTGCCAGACCAGGGAGTTCCGGATTGGGGAGGTGCAACCTGTAGTCAGAGCTTCTGGGGCTTGAGTGGCTGGGACATGGGACGGGAAGGGAGCAGCACGCGGAGAAGGTCAAGCTGGGCCGCTGGCGAGGGGAAGAGTCACCAGAGCAGAGTGCGGCGCCGGGGGAAGCTGGCCAAGCCAGCCGGGGTCCTCCTCTCCCTGCTGCTCTGCAGGCTCAGGCACTGCCGAGGAGACGACCGGCACTCGGCCTGGGGGAGCTGGCTGAGGCTCCTGCCAAAGTCTGTCGGCAGAGGTCAGGGGTCTCCCTGCTGCACAGGAACAGGAAGAGAGGCAGCTGGGGCTCTGGGGCCAGCCAGGGAGCACGCGGACCTTGTCGGGACAGGACATGGACCCGAGTCCGGCGTTTGCACGTCCCAAAGGCCAGCACATGACGGTGGGGGCATCCCAGCCTTTCCTTGGCGTTACCGGCTA